GGCAGACCAGTATGTTTGCATGTATGTATATAAAAAAATATTTATTGGACCAAAAAGTAGTGGGTAGGCACTGTGGCCAATGGTAATCAACTATTACCACCTCCGCATGGTTGTAAGCCATGCAGAGTCCGCAGAATGCTCCGGAAGCAGTGTCCGGAGGATGCATCCGACTAGGCAGAGCATACTTTGAAGTGCCATCTTATTGAAACTTAAGAAAGTTCAATTACTTGGCAGTTGAGAAGTGCATGTGCAAAAATTTCCTAAGTTGCATAAAGGAAATTTTTGCACATGCAGCAGTACATAGCATGTATTTAGGCGCCTGGTGTTAGCAGACGCGCCTAAACATACCGGCCCCCCTAGACGACTTGGTCGTCTAGTGGATATAACAAAAGCCGCAAATATCCGGCTCGAAGGACCATGAATAACTCAGTGAGAGGGGAGACCAGTATGTTTGCATGTATGTATATAAAAAAAATATTTATTGGACCAAAAAGTAGTGGGTAGGCACTGTGGCCAATGGTAATCAACTATTACCACTTCCGCATGGTTGTAAGCCATGCAGAATCCGCAGAAAACTCCGGAAGCAGTGTCCGGAGGATGCATCAGACTAGGCCGAGCAAACTTTGAACTGCCATTAAATTAAAACTTAAGAAAGTTTTATTACATGGCAGTTGTGAAGTGCATGTACATGTAAATTTCATTAATTTAATGAAGGAACTTTTTGCACATGCAGCAGTACATAGCATGCATTTAGGCGCCTGGTGTTAGCAGTCGCGTCTAAACATACCGGCCCCCCTAGACGATTTGGTCGTCTAGTAGATGTAAAATAAGCCGCAAATATCCGGCTCGAGGGACCATGAATAACTCAGTGAGAGGGGAGACCAGTATGTTTGCATGTATGTATATAAAAAAATATTTATTGGACCAAAAAGTAGTGGGTAGGCACTGTGGCCAATGGTAATCAACTATTACCACCTCCGCATGGTTGTTAGCCATGCAGAATCCGCAGAAGACTCCGGAAGCAATGTCCAAAGGATGCATCAGACTAGGCCGAGCATACTTTGAACTGCCATCAAATTAAAACTTAAGAAAGTTTTATTACATGGCAGTTTAGAAGTGCATGCACATGTAAATTTCATTAATTTAATGAAGGAAATTTTTGCATATGCAGCAGTACATAGCATGCATTTAGGCGCCTGGTGTTAGCAGTCGCGTCTAAACACATACCTTCTAGTTTTTGTGGTTAAAGAATTAACATTAATGGATATAATATTAAGTGTTTTCACAATTGTATTAGTTGCATTAGTCATGCTGATCCTCAAGTAATGAAAAAAGAATATCTATGCGAGATGCTTGCTCTTGCTGTTGTTTTTCGATATTTAACAATTGCTCTCTTAGATTATCCATCGCCTTTTTAAGCTCTAACAATAAGTTATTAGTTAATTTTTCATTATTACTAATTTGGTTGGAAATAGTTTGAGGGGGTGTCGATTTTACAAAGAGATCGGTAAATTTTATATTTGGGTTAATAAAGTTTTGATGATAAATAGGTTTTTTTGAGATGTTCTTTTTCTTTTCAATAAATTTTAGTTTAAGGCTAGTATATTTTTCGCATCCCTTGTATGAAGCAGGATGCCCATATTTTTTACATAGTACGCAATATAGTTTGCTTTNAGTGGGGGTCGATTTTACAAAGAGATCGGTAAATTTTATATTTGGGTTAATAAAGTTTTGATGATAAATAGGTTTTTTTGAGGTGTTATTTTTCTTTTCAATATGTTTTAGTTTAAGGCTAGTATATTTTTCGCATCCCTTGTATGAAGCAGGATGTCCATATTTTTTACATAGTACGCAATATAGTTTGCTTTGATCGTTATCACTAGATTTTTCCATTGTACATTCTTTGCTGTTGTGAAGTTGATCGCATTTAACACATTTAGGCGGTAGATGGCAATCGGCAGCGCTGTGGAAAAAACCGTGACAGCTGCGGCATTGTGAAATTCTTTTTTTTCAGGGGTTCCCATTTTATGCATCTATAGAGAATGTTTTTTATAGTTTTGAGTGAATTTATGCTACTTTCAGGTGTTATTTGCACCATGAAGATTGGCAATGACGTTGTGTTTTTTTTGGAATTTTTTGTAGTAAACGGTGTCACTTTGATGAATTTTAAATTGTCATTTTGGTGTTCCTGTCATTCTTTTAGAATTAGCTTGGAATCTGTATTTGCATTTAACCCTTTTAATAGGTATGTTTTAATTTTCAAGGCCTTTGGCGAGTAAGGAAATCTTTTACCAGGATAAAGGTGTTTAAATCTTGTATGTAAAGAGTTTGTTTTTGTTCTCTGTTTCCTTTAATTTTAAAGTTTTTAATTTTTATGCCTTTAGTTAACACTTCAATTAGTTTGCCTGGCCCAATGCCATAAATTATAATAGGTGGCACTTTGTTTTTGTATTTATTGCCACTTTTGGTATTGTCCAATGAATTGTATGTTTCTGTGCCATTGTCATTTGCACTTCTATTTTCGATCCGTGGGCCTTTGTTGTTGGAGCTGGTTTGCTCGGTACATGTTTTGCTTTGCTTTTGTGTCACATATTCTTTAAAATTTACTACGCACTCATCACTATCGAGATCTAGAGCCGCGTAGTAGTTAGTGTTGTTGATTAGTTTGGGAGCTGATGACCCTTCCATGTTGTTGCTTTTTCTTTTATTTCTATTTTGCACTTTTACAGAAAACACGTGGTCAGAGACCATTAAGTTACTTGAGTTTTGAGCATGATGCTCACTCATATTATTAGTAACTTTTGACCAAAAAACACTATTTTCTTATAAACTGTGCCTTTAAAAGTTTGTGTAATAACTTAATTAGTTGGATTTATGGCGCCTTATATGAACGCAAATATAATAACCAGTCGCGATCCGTAGAACGTCTATCACTCATCACAGTCGTGAGAGAACTCCTCGGCGTGGACTATTTTACCTGCTATAACTGCGGAACCATAAGTCACATAAACATGGCATTTGGTATGCAGACATATCTGTGGTAAGTGCTTATAGTAAGGTATATATAAATGAGTTTGTAAAAGGGGGCGTAGCACTTAACATAGGCGTGGAATTTTTTATCAGCCATAACTTCGGAACCACAAGTCACATGACCCCTTTAATTCCTTCTAACGTGGGGTGAAACCCGCGGGTAAAAGCTAAATAGTTAATAAATAAACATAAGTGGCAAACAATATTATTTTGAATTTGGTACAAAATGGTATGTCCAACTTTGACTTTTTTAATTCTTGTAAAAATTACATACCATTACATATGTAGTGTATTTTTTTGAAGTTTGTGTGTTTAAATAATGCTACGATTTTGGTTTTAAACTGTGAACACTTAATTAAATGTTGTTAATCAAGTATTTATGTAAGTTAACAAGAAGATGTAACTACATCAGTAATTATGTTCGCTTAAGCAGCCACATCGAGGTACTTAAGCGGGTTCTTTAAAGTACCCAACCCGCCTAAGTACCTCAAAAAGCTGACATTTTTCGTGAGGAACTTAAGCGGGTTTTATGTACCTTGTAATGTTTTTATCATGATAGCAACTTTGAAGTTTTATAACTTTGAATGATTTATACGTCTAAAAAATTATTTATTTGGTAAACAACTGTGACCGAAATTGGTCTTGAAATTGAAATTTTTCATGTGAATACATATTTACAATTTCAAATTGAAATTGAGAATCGAAATTTGAAGCTCGTGGAAACATACTTTTATTTAAAATTTCGACTTTATTTCTCATTTACTAAATTTTTAATATGACCTTATTTCACATTTGAGTTGGTAATAACGTCATATCTTTTATTTCCAAAACAAAATGGAAATAAGACCATATGACCTTATTGCGTACGGTGTAAAAGCTCAGTTAGTTTAGACTTAATTTCCGTAACTTTACTTAATATTTTCACCAACCTGTTATATGAGAAACTCTGTTGGCCGTTAGTTAAAACTTTACTTACTGTAAGCAACTTAAGAACCTGTAAATTTTAGATTCTCAAGTTACGGCCTTACGGAATTTTAGAGCGGTGAGAGAATCAGAGTTGCCAGATTTTCGCTTTTTCCTCCGCTTTTTCTTAAAAATAAATGTACGCAAACATATATTTTTGCATGATTTTTTTTATGTGGCATTTTAGACGGCAAACTCTCAAAGAGCTGTAAAATAAAATACAAAATATTTTCGCTTCGTGCTTAAGTTGACGTGTTGAGTAATCATTGATGATTTCTTACGATAAATTAAATTAAGTCTAGACTAACTGAGCTTTTATTGCAGCTCACTGTCCATGGCCTTGAAAATTGTAAATACCTAGGCGTGAAATACCGAGGAATATTCCCCAAGATAGAAGTAAATATTGTCCCCGTTACTTTCGATATAGACTACACATTATGACACTGCGTAAATTTTGGAGCCATCAGTAAAGATTCTACCATGGTGGATAAAAATATTAACTGATGGTAGGTAGGTTTACTAGTGCGTAGACCAGCCCGAGGTGTTTTAAAGAAAGCTCCCGTGCAGCGCACTCATAGAGCTGTAAATCTACAAGATTCCTCTAGGGACAGACCAAACGTTATAACAAAGACCCTTTTGCGTTGCCAGACCGCTGTTAAAGATTTGGAGGTCCCTTACTCAACGTGAGACTTTCATGAAAGTTTATTACATAGGATTACACCTAATTATAGACAGATGGTTGACACTTTGTGTAGTGAGAATGGCCTATCCGCCAACCCAACGAAAACTAGTGTTGTGCTCTTCATAAGACGGAGAAGGTTAAGCGGCCGTGTTCTTCCTGCCCTTAACGGAGGCACTATTCAGATCTCTTGCGAAGTTAAGTATTAAGGATAGTGGTTGACATACTTCTAACAAAAAAGAAAATTTTAATTCTTACGGGGTTATCTCGATTTAAATGAAAAAATATAGAGAATTTGTTCAATGTACCCTTTCTCGCCCATATCGAGTTTGTGGGCATCATTTATATAAACTTTAAACTAATAAATATTTATTTTTTTTTATAAGGATCTCGAAGCTTTCGACCTGGAGGATTTCAAGTACAATGACGTTAACATTACTGCCTTTGGTTTGGTGGACGTAGAAAGCCCGCGATATGAGGAAGTTATCGAACAAATGCAAAAGTTGCCTCATAGCGGATTAGACTTTATCAATGGTCAGCCATACATACAGGTACGCAAAACTAACTCATGTTTCTTAGACGTTATTATTTTGCTTCTATGTACAGCCCAGTGATATTTGGTCCCAAATTCATGCCCATAAATCCAAAAATAAAGTATCGATTTTGGGTTTTTATTTTCTTATTTGTACTTTTTAGAGCGCTGCGTCAACTAACTTTACCACTGATCATAAAACAGGTCGGTTGGCTATAATCATATTCCTTTTGCACCTGTTTTATGATCAGTGGTAAAGTTCTAGTTGACTCAGCGCTCTAAAGTACAAATGTAATGCTAATGTCTAAAAAAAATGCCAAACGCCATTGGGGCGATCAATTTTAGTTTTGTGAAATGGGTTTTTCTTCCACAGGTGAGTTCTATGTAAGGTATAATTTTAAAATTTCTTAATATGTTCAACTGATTAGTATTTAATGAAATATTCAAGTGAATTTTTAATAAAAACAGTTTAAGGAAAAAGTAATGAGTCATTTTCTTCATGTTTCACCAATAAAAAAGTTGTGTTTATTCCAAGATAACTTTATTTTGAACTATAATACTAACAGCCAATTTCACCAGCAATTTAAATGGAAAATTATTTTTTATTAAAAAAATTTTTCTCTTAAATTACTTTCGTGAAATTAGTTGTAAATATTGAATCGTACAGTGTCCGAGCAATTTTTTAAGATGCGATTTTGTACCTGTTACGTAGCCGCAAGTTTGTTGCAAGGTCGAGTGGCAAGTCGGCATGCTTGCGGTCTCTGGCGTAGCTCATCGGTTTGGGTGGGTTCTTGCACTTGCCGAAGTATATAAACTAAAAGAGATAGAAAAAAATATAGTAGAAGAAAAAAGAAGCAAGTTAAAGCAGGTGAAAAATAAGCGAAGGCCAGTCCTGTCAGGCGTAGTCTACCCACCTTCTCCTACGTCCTTGGTACGCGAAGCCTTGGACGCTGTGTTCACTCCTCCCATCCTTACAGCGTCCCTATACCTCACCAATGTCCATATGTCAGTCACACAGTCTAGCCTGGTCAACTTGTAATGTCGCCATGTCTATACTCCCACTCCCCCTCTTGCGCGCAAGCGCAACACACACACCAATTATATGAAATTAGCACCTCATAATTTTCATAGTGGCTTCCTTTTTCCAGCCAAATTTAAATTTAAATTTAATTTTATTAAATTTAAAAATTAAGTTGAAATTCAGTAGAATTCAAAAAAATCCGCATATAACTCTTACTTTAAAATCTATATATATATATATATGTGCAAGCAAAAACAAAGACTATTGATTCTATTGATCCTAAGTTAATTTGACTTATTATTATTGATTACTTAACATGTACAATCAAAGGAACAAAATAAAGTAGTGTAACAAAAGATTTTTTAGCAAGAAAATTTTGTCAAAGCTTCACTAAAATGAATAAAAAAAATAAGTTAAGGTCTCGTTAAAGTTACTAAAAGCCATTTAGTGAAAGGAGTTACTCAAACTCTAATGAAAATTACTAACAATTTGTACTAATTTACTTCGTTTTTAAAAAAGTTTGTCGCGCGAATAGCAAACCGGCATTTAAATATCTGCATACATACATATACAATACCAATTATGAATTTACGCTGAATTTGCCGACAAGCTTTTTTAAAAACGAAGTAAATAAATAAGTACAAATTATTAGTAATTTTCATTAGAGTTTGAGTAACTCCTTTCCCTAAATGGCTCTTAGTAACTTTAACGAGACCTTATCTTATTTTAATTTATTCATTTTAGTGCACTTTTGACAAAATTTTCTTGCTAAAAAATCTTTTGTTACACTACTTTATTTTATTCCTTTGATTTGACATGTTAAGTAAAAGCTTGTTTAAAAAAAAAAAATTTTTTACATTATTTTATTTTGATCTTTTTAGTTTTATTTTATATAACCAGTACATAATTAGGATATTCACAGTTTACTTTTAAAGTTAAAACGTGGCAACTTTAACAAGATAAGATGGTAAGGGTTAAGCTCAGGGCCTTACGGTAAGGGCTAAGCTCAGGGACTTAGCGGGGTCACACAGGGCGGATCGTGAATGGCCTACTTCGGTGGGTTAGCTGCGAATAACCAATAAGCAGTCCTAGACCAAGAGCGGCAGGCCTGAGGGCCTGATTTAAAAGATCAGAAATGCTTGATGAATCTCCTGTGTCCGGGCGAACAGATGCCGCCTCCGAAAAAGCATCCCAGGATTGAGACCAGTGGTGCGATTCACTACGAGATTTTAACACCTCTTGTTATTGTTAAGTCAGTTAAACGACAATTTCAACAATTTAGCTATTCGGTAAACGTTTCCCTAACAACATTCGTTAGCGCCAAATCAGCTGTTGTCGTTAACGATAACAAAGGCCGCTAATTTGACGACGTCTAGATTGGTGTTGTTAATAAAACGTAAAAGGTACGTTCTACAATTTTTTCGTACAAATGCACAGCACCGCTAGCAAAAAAAAATCAAAAATCAAAGGATTTTCAGCATCAAACTTGCACTTTATTGTATTAAAATTTAATGGACTACAAAACTGCATACATAATTCTGTTATTATTCTTATTAAAAACTTGAAGTTTTACGAAAGTTTGTTGAATTTTGTTTAGATAATACACACACACAGAATACACTATTAAAAACAAGAAAAATAAAGTAAATAGCACGAAAAATAGTTCGTTAAAACTTGTCTATATGGATTCCGGTTATAATTTTCCAATAGGGCGTAAAGCAATATAGAAAACTGGAAGTTAAAAGGTTATAAGTCTATTTTTTTAATTTTACAGGAACTGAATATGCATTGAATTTAAAGGAATTGAATAATTAAATTTTTAATTTAATACGTGTACGTCGCTTGTTAAAAGTATAAATATCATATATGTATGTCCATATTTAAATATTCCTTTGTTAATCTTCATTACACTAGCATAATAAAATCAGTCTTAAAAATAATTACATATGTACAAAATGTGCATACAGTGATTCTTTTTAAATACATAGTAACAATATTTTTAATGTTGAATGTTTTCCGTAAACTTTTTTTTTACAGCTGCGAGCAAAATTGGCAGAAAAATTCAAAATTATGTTGTTTGCTACTTATGTGTATTTATTNCCTTTGTTAATCTTCATTACACTAGCATAATAAAATCAGTCTTAAAAATAATTACATATGTACAAAATGTGCATACAGTGATTCTTTTTAAATACATAGTAACAATATTT